CCGATCATGATGCAGCAGCCACCACCCGGAGGTATCCTTCCGCATCACGTTCCTCCTCCGTCTGCGCAACAACACTACGGTTATCAGCAACCGTCTCCTTACGGGATGACCGGAGCTGCTCCACCACCACCACAGATGTGGAATCCGCAAGCAGCGACGGCGCCGCCTTCAGCTCAGCCTATGACCGCCGATGAGATCAGGACTCTTTGGATCGGAGATTTGCAGTTTTGGATGGATGAGAATTTCCTCTTCGGTTGTTTTGCTCATACTGGAGAGGTAATACTCAGAGATTTCGATTTGGGTTTTTTTAGTTCCTTGTGATTATTTCTTATAATTACGCAATTGTTCGTTTTCTAATTGAAAGATTTGATTTTTAGGGATATAGAAATGATCTGAAGTTTTGGACAAATTTTATGTGTATTCTTCTCTCTGTGAGAATGAGTTAATGAGTAATTTATTTAGTTTAACACTATCACTGTTTTGTAGGTTGTTTCTGCTAAAGTTATCCGTAACAAGCAAACTGGTCAGGTTGAAGGGTATGGTTTTATTGAGTTTGTATCTCATGCTGCTGCTGAACGAGCTTTACAAACATTCAACAACACACCTATCCCGAGTGTTCCGGATCAGCTCTTTAGATTGAACTGGGCCTCATTGAGTTCTGGAGATAAGCGGGACGATTCACCGGATTACACTATATTCGTTGGTGATCTAGCAGCTGATGTTACGGATTATATCTTGCTTGAGACGTTTAGAGCCTCTTACCCTTCTGTTAAGGGTGCGAAAGTTGTTATCGACAGAACCACTGGGCGTACTAAGGGATATGGTTTTGTTAGGTTTTCTGATGAAAGTGAACAGATACGTGCTATGACGGAAATGAACGGTGTTCCTTGTTCAACTAGGCCTATGAGAATTGGGCCAGCAGCTAACAAAAAAGGTGTTCCTGGTCAAAGGGGTATGCGTAGTTGATCTGAAGTATATGTGACTTTAGAACTGCTTTGCTCTTGCATTCTTGTGATTTGTTTAGATTTGTGTGCTCTAGTATCTATGAGAGTAGGTTTCTTCAAGTAAGAACTAATTAACAGCCTTGTGCGAAGTACGACTAACTCTATTTGTTAGGCTTTTTTCCTCAGTGTTTAGTTAAGTCTTGATTATTTGATAGATTTTTCTGAAGCCACTTCCTGTACTTACCGCTCAGGCCGCAATAAATTCTGTTAAATCATAAAAGATAGAACTCTTATAGTATCATGTTTGTTTCAAAGCAGGGAGTCAAGAGGCTCTCTATCATCTTGAGGCCTGGAACTGATTTCAGCTGAAATGGTTATCTCCTTATTGAGTGCCCATACTTAGGTCAGTTTTAAAGTTCATGTGTTGTCCTTTATCAGCCCTTTCCTTCACTTCAGCCTTGCTATGGTTTCCATTTATCTTTTCAATACAAATTTTCTTCCATTTCTCCGCCAGTTACTTTTATAAGTCAATTCTTATGTATTTACTTTTCCAGTTCATTCCGCTCTACTTAACGTTCTTATCTTTTTTTAACTTGATTTACTTTTATATGTACACCAAGCTCCTTTCTACCTTCTGTGAGTCTAGATGTTAGAAGTTTTCCGGACATTTTAACATATATGTGAGAAAGATTTTGTTTGACCTTTTTTAATATGGGCGTGGTCAGATGTGGCAGTAGCCAAAGATATAGCTACATTGTTTTAAGTTTTTTTTTTCCAGTATTGGCCTTCACAATTCCTCTATACTTTGTCACTATAGCCATTTCAATTATTTCACTACACTACCTTGTAAGTTTAGCACCTTGATCTACCCTCTTTAAGTAGCCGAAAGCCTGGGGAGAAACGTGATGCAAAGGTCATTGTCGTTGTCTAATTGCTCATCTTTTGTGATTATGGCTCCTCTACATATTGAGGATTTATGATAGACGTTAACATCATTGATAGACTTTGACTTCCTATACATGTTTTGCAATTTCGTCGTCAATAGACTGAGAATAGTATTTTTCATGCCTTCTTTGCACTTGCTTTCAATTTGTTGGGAATTTTAGAAGAGGCTGTTGCACATACTTAGGTCTCTCGTATTTTTCCCATTGCTCTGTTTCATGTGGAATTTACAGATACTTACTCCTTTTACTATACCTGCGTTTTTTCCGCGTAAATGCAGATTCATACCAGAGCGCTGCTTCAGGAGTTCCAACTGATAATGATCCAAATAATACTACTGTGGGTTATATGCTCTTATCATATATATGTCCCACTGGGTTATCTTCCAAAGTGATAATGTCTGACGCATTTGAAGTTATGTACAGGTTTTTATTGGCGGATTAGATCCCACTGTCACAGAGGATCATCTGAAGAATGTCTTTGGCCAATATGGTGAGATTGTGCATGTGAAAATCCCAGCTGGGAAACGTTGTGGATTCGTTCAATTTTCCGAGAAGTAAGTGCACTGTTGCTGCTGATCGAAACTCTGTCATTTGACATTATAATAGGCTTTGGAATTTCACTCTTAACAGTTTAATCATGTGTTTGTGACCAACCCTCAGAAGCTGCGCAGAGGAAGCACTTAGAATGCTGAATGGAATGCAATTGGGTGGAACAACCGTCAGGCTTTCATGGGGCCGAAGTCCTACGAACAAACAGGTAACTAATTCCCTTTGCATATTCGATGATCGAAAACATAACCTATCATTAAAGAACTATTGCAGCTTCTCTCGTCACTTCCCTTATCTTCTCACCGTGACTGCTCAATGAAAAATTATGTAGTCCAAGCTCTAAGTTTAGCTGATAGTAGTCGCAAATTGGTTCTTGAACTGTCCACGTAGCTTTTGATAATCTGGATTATGAAGCCTCTACACCTGCAACTCCTCTCTATGTCCTCTTGATCTGACAAATATACATTTTTGTTTTATTGGTTCTCTAGGCAGCGGATCCGAGCCAGTACTATTACAGCGGGTATGGACAAGGTCAGGAGCATTATGGCTACTCGATGCCACAAGATCCTAATGCGTATTACGGAGGTTACCCTGGTGGATACAGCGGTTACCAGCAGCCACCACAGGCGGGCCAGCAACCGAC